CTTAGGAGGTCCGAAAACATGGAACAAGAGGTTCCCCGTCACCAAGCAACACTGCACGCGCCGTCACGCGCCACCATTGGAAGATCACGCGCCTCGCCGCCAGTCCACGTGCCTTCACGCGCCTTCCGAAGGTTGAAGACGCTGACGTCAGCTGTCTGACCGGTCAACGACAGGTCAGCCCAGTAGTTTTTCGCCACGTGTCATATTCGCTACGTCACTGTACCCAGTCATCCTAATTTTCATAAATTACATTTTTGCCCCTTTTATTTTACTTGAATTCCATGTTAACCCCTATATTTTTCATAAATTTCAATTTGACCCATCATTCTTCTAGAATCTCTATTTTACGCCCTAGACAGTCTAAAATCCCCATTTTGCCCCTAGCCTTTTGAAAAATCTCACTTTACCCCTATATCCTTCAATGTTTCCATTTGCACCCCAATCTTTCCCATATCCTTAGCCTTGACACTTATCCAAAATGCCTCCAAGACGTAGACATGTGCACGAGGTTGAGATGGAAGAGTTGAGACGTAGGATACGAGAATTGGAAGCCACTGTGGAATTGCAGCAAACTCTGTTAAACAACAACAGAGAAAACTTAGAGAGAGATTCAGGAAGCAGTAGTTCGTCATCTACTGACAACCGCCGCCGCCCACGACAACAACAATTCCGCCCTAATGACATCAAGGTTGACATTCCTGAATTCGAGGGAAGGCTCTAGCCAGACGAGTTTATAGATTGGCTGCAAACTGTTGAACGAGTATTTGAATACAAGGAGATTCCAGATGTACAAAAAGTCAAGATTGTTGCCTTCAAACTCAAGAAACATGCTTCTATCTGGTGGGAAAACCTCAGACGGAAGCGGGAACGTGAGGGAAAGCACAAGATTGAGACCTGAGAAAAAATGAAACGCCAGCTCACTAGGAAATTTCTGCCAGATTATTACCACCAAGATAATTTTATCCAGCTTCAAAATCTTCGACAGAGATCTTTATCTGTAGAAGAATATACTAGGAAGTTTGAACAACTCATGATGAAGTGTGACATTCAAGAGAAGGAGGAGCAAACAATAGCTCGGTACCTTGCAGGCTTAAACACAGATATTAGTCGTCCAGTCCAGCTTCAGCAATATTGGACCTTGGATGATGTCATCCGTCTGGCCGTGTGTGTTGAGAAGCAGATGCCCAAGAGATCTACTTTCCAACCTTCATCCTCTAGGAGTTATCCAGAAGGCCGTAAAGCAAAATTTCAGCAGACCAACTCCTCAAGCAAGCCACAACCTACTGCTATGCGCAAACCACCATCCAATGTTGCTAAGGAATTTGGTTCTAAAGCAATCAAATGCTTTAAATGCCAAGGATTTGGCCACATTGCTGTGAACTGTCCTACACGAAGGGTTGTCACTATTCGAGAAGGATCAAGGTATGAAGCACTTGAAGAAGATGAGGAGGACGCTGAGTTCTACAGCACTGATCCCGTATATCACGAGGAGGTCACACCTGCTGATCAAGGAGAAGCATTGGTGCTTAGACAAAGTCTGCATACAACAGTAGTCAAAGAAGAACCTTGGCTATGACGCAACATTTTTCACACTCGTTGCACGGCCCAAGGAAAAGTTTGTAATGTCATCATTGACAGTGGAAGCTATGAAAATGTAGTATCTGACTACATGGTGGAGAAATTAAAGTTGCCAACACAAGATCATCCGCAATCTTACAAGCTTCACTGGCTCAATAAAGGGAATGAGGTAAAAGTTTCTAAATAATGCCTTGTGACCTTTTCTATTGGGAATCGATATTGTGATGAAGTTTTATGTGATGTTGTTCCCATGGATGCATGCCATCTTCTCTTGGGGAGGCCATGGCAATATGACCGACATGTTATGCACAACAGGCGAGCGAACACCTATTCTTTTACAAAAGATGGTGTCAAGTTCACACTAGCGCCTTTGCCACCCAGTGAGATTAGCCAATCTTCAAGGGAATCTAGTGTCTCTAAGCCGTTAGTGTCTTTGTTGACTAAGGAGGAATTCAAGGTGTCGAAATCCGAAGCCCAAATGATGAGCTTTATTCTGGTGCTTGAGGTGAATGACGAGATGACCAATCCACCTGGAGTCATTTTGTTATTGTCAGAATTTCCAGATGTAATATCTAATGAGATACCACCAAGGTTGCCTCCCATGCGAGACATACAGCACGCCATTGACTTCGTTCCAGGAGCAGTCATTCCTAACAAGCCTGCTTACAGAATGAGTCCCCAGGAACATGCTGAAGTCCAACGGCAAGTTAAAGAGTTGTTGAAGAAAGGGTTGGTTCGAGAAAGTATCAGCCCTTGTGCTGTACCTGTTCTTCTAGTACCTAAGAAGGATGAAAGTTGGAGAATGTGCATTGACTGTCGAGCCGTCAACAAGATCACTATTAAGTATCAGTTTTCGATACCTCAGCTTGATGATATGCTGGACCAGTTGCATGGTGCCACTACTTTCTCCAAAATTGACCTTCGTAGTGGGTACCATCAAATCAGAATTCAGCCAGGAGATGAGTGGAAGACCGCTTTCAAGACCAGAGATGGCTTATACGAGTGAAATGTGATGCCTTTTGGGTTAACAAATGCCCCTAGCACATTTATGCGCCTGATGAATCAAGTATTGAGACCTTTCATTGGTAAATTTGTTGTTGTGTACTTTGACGATATTCTTATTTATAGTAAGAATCAAGAGGAGCATTTAGATCACTTGCGGCAAGTTTTACAAGCCTTGCGTGAGCAGAAGCTTTATGCAAATCCCAAGAAGTGCACCTTCCTTACTAACGAAGTTGTGTTCTTGGGTTACATCATTACCACAGAGGGTGTTCGCGTTGATCCAAGCAAAGTTACAGCCATTGACAGCTGGCCAATTCCAAAATCTATCTAGGAGGTTCGAAGCTTCCACGGATTAGCTTCTTTCTACAGGAGGTTCATCCATAATTTTAGCTCAATTGCCGCACCACTTACAGACTGCACCAAAGGAGAGAAGTTTCAGTGGACAAAGCAAGCTAAAAAAAGCTTTCAGGAGCTTAAGAAGAAGTTGACTGAAGCTCCAGTCCTAGCTCTTCCTAATTTTGACCAGGTATTTGAAGTTAGCTGTGATGCTTCTAACACCGGCATTGGTGCTGTCTTAAGCCAGGAGGGCCATCCCATTGCCTTTTTTAGTGAGAAGCTCAATGATGCCAAGCTCAGATATTCTACCTATGACAAGGAATTCTATGCCATTGTTTGAGCTCTTCAATATTGGAGTCATTATCTCCTAAATAAAGAGTTCATACTTTTTTCGGATCATGACGCTCTCAAGTATTTGAATTCCCAGCAGAAGATCAGCCGCAGACATGCTCGTTAGAGTGAACTCTTATAGTCTTATCCATTCTTTATCAAACATAAGGCTGGAACTCTGAACTCCATAGCTGATGCCCTTAATCGTCGCCATGTGCTACTTACAACACTGCAAACCAAGGTTGTTGGATTTGACCTTATCAAAGAGTTGTATCAGGATGATCCTGATTTTTGAGGAGTGTAGGAAGCAACCGTAAATCAACCTTTCCACCAGTTCTACAGGCATGACGGTTTTTTATTTCAAGGTAAAACCCTCTGTATTCCATAGGGTTCCTTGAGAGAAGCCATAATTTGGGAAGCATATGACGGTGGATTAGCTGGACATTTTAGACGGGATAAAACAGTTGATCTAGTGAAGGGCAACTTTTACTGGCCTCTACTTGAACGGGATGTCAACAGGCATATACAAAGATGCAGAATTTGTCACTTGGCTAAATCCAAGGGTTAGAATACCGGACTATACATGCCTTTGCCAATTCTAGAAGCACCGTGGGAAGATATAACTATGGGTTTTGTTCTAGGTTTACCACGGACTTAGAGGCAAAAAGATTCTATCATGGTAGTTGTGGATCGTTTTTCAAAAATAGCCCATTTCATCCCATGCCAGAAGACCAGCGACGCTGTTCAAGTAGCAGACTTGTACTTTAAGGAGATTGTGCGTCTTCATGGCATTCCTAAAACTATCACTTCTGACTGTGATGTGAAGTTTCTTAGCCACTTTTGGCGGACGCTATGGAAGAAGATGGGAACTAAGCTCCAATTTAGCAGCGCTAGTCATGCCCCGACAGATGGTCAAACTAAAGCTAGAAATAGGATTCTTGGTAATCTTCTTCGTAGTTTCGTGGGGAAGAATTTGAAGCAGTGGGATCTTATTCTTGCTCAAGTTGAGTTTGCTTATAATAACTCTGTCAATCAAGCAACTGGGAAGTGTCCGTTTGAAGTTATTTATGGCACTCGTCCCCTTAGTCCACTAGACTTGAGCCCTTCACTTGATAAGCAGCAATACAGCTTTGATGCTGACCAAAGGGCTAAGGAAATTAAGAAGTTGCATAAGCAAGTCCGCGAGCGAATTCAAAAGCAGAATTTGAGATACAAAGCTCAACGTGACAAGCATCAAAGACAGCAGACTTTTAAGATAGGAGATTTGGTTTGGATACATCTATGAAAGGAACGATTTCCTAAACAGCCAAACACCAAGTTGTCTCCAAGAGCTGATGGTCCGTTCAAGATAGTGCAAAGGATCAACAACAATGCTTACAAGGTGGAATTACCTAGTTCTTATGGTGTATCTGCCACCTTCAATGTCACTGATTTATCTCCGTATGTTGATGAAGATGATGAATTTGACTCGAGGGCGAGTTCTTCCCAACCTGAGGAGGATGAAATGGAAAGAGCAGAAACGAGCTGAAACGGAAGGCACACACATAATGAAGTAGAAGTGGGAGACACATATAATGAAACATCATAAACTCTTTGTAACCTCCCCTTAATTTCTGTAATCCCTCTTTAAATTTGTACGGTTCAGTTTTATAAATTCTAGAACTATAAATAGGATCCTTGTGGCTGTGAAAGAGGCAGACTTGAAAAAAAAAAAAATTACTTGTTTCTCATTCGGTTTCTGTGCTAGGAGCTAAATGGCTTCATTCTCGGGTTCTGTCCATGCAAGGCTTAAAATCTCAGGCTTCGTGCTAATTTTCCTTTTTTTTAACGTATTGTCTTTTTCATGGTTGAAAAAATTGTTTTACGCCATCTGACTTGTCAATATTTTTTTAATTAAGGATTGGAGTTTCAACACTTTTTACTTATTGAGGAAAAAAAAAAAAAACACTTTTTACGAAAAAAGCTCCCCTTTTCTTTTTCTCCGAGGCGCGCACCTTCTCCCCGCCCCATTCTTCATCCTTCTTTCTCTTGGTCTCGTCTTCATTGTTGGCATTCTCTATCAGGCTGTATCAAGCTTCTCGCGTGGGTTTTCCATTTGCATCTCGCCGTTCTCCAGGTTCGCTGTGCATTCTTGATCTCGCCGTTTTTCAAGCTTTATCACGCTCAGATTCTCGATCTCAGCGTCACCCAGAGCTTTGTGTTGGCCGTTCTCGCTTATGGTTCTCCAATCCAATGTTCTCCGCGCTTCTCGCTACCGTCTTGTGGGTATATGTATTTGCAACTCAAACGATTTCCAAAAAGCTTGATGAAACCCTGAAATGTCTTTGTGGGCTGTGGCTATGTGTTCAACCAAATACCTGAATCTTTCTATCCACTTTGATTCCCAGGATTTGTTTTACACATAAAACTCTGAATTTCTCTGTTAAATACATGATGCCTTTGTGCAGAATATTGCGTGAGAGATGATGGAGAAGAAAGACATCTTCTGTTAATACCAGTGTTCCTGACGTGACATCTTCATTCTTCTTTCAGCAAATATTTTTTTCAACTTTGAGAGATGAGAGCAAGCTTGTGCTTGCAGTCCCCAAAGCACAACGCAGAGCGAGAAGGGGGGGGGGGTTTCGCTTTTGTAGCTTGACCTTTTGTGGTTGTCTTGCTTTTTATTTTTGATTTGTGTTTGGATGCGGGGTTCAGTGGCGAGACCTCCACATAATATATTGCAAGTTAAATGGATCATTTTCATGACCATGCCATCCTAAAGTATTAACATTTCTATCACCTTATGTTGTTCTTTGTACTGATTTGGTTTGGCTTGCTATCATGTCGTGACTGAAAATTTTTACTTGATTCAAAAAAGATAAATCAATAATTTTTAAAAAATTGAGATGGGAGACATGTTTTATTATTTTCTGTCTTACCCACACATCTTTCCTGTAAGTTTTCAATTTGTTGCTTAATTTGTAGAATCTCGACTGGAAGCAGATAGAGAAGGTAGGATCCTAAGCTTCCCGTTCGTCTCGACTGTTCCCGCATGAAACTGCGCCAAATTGATTTCCATCTTCATCGATATTTTCCAAATTATTTCTAATGGATTTTGTCTTTCGTTCTGATTATCTCCTGGGCAATCGTTATCATTAGGACCTCATTTTCCTTGTCTTTTTACATATTTTACATTGGCTTAGTTTTATGCAGCAACAATGATTTGCTTTGGGTGCTTGGCACCTTTACTACTATGCTTTCCCATTTATTAGATTTTAGATTTTAATCTTACATATCCCCTGTTTAAATTTTAGTTGGTATTAGCTTGAAAGGATGAGGGCTTTTTTTTCAGACCATAATGTCCATAGTGATGCTACCGTCATTGAAGCTCTGTTTAATGGTCTGGATCATTGTTGGAGGTACAGGTTTTAGGTATGTTGAGGTGGAATTAAATTGTGCTCGGAGTTTTAATCTACTGAATATGGACATCTCATTCTCAACAGCGAATCCACTGCATGAAGTTTTTTACGAAGCTAGGAATACAGTTATGAGAGATTGGGGATTTTTTTTTGTTATACTCTTGTACTGACAGTGGTGACCAAATTACAGAGGTTGTTAGAATAGGTTTACATAGCCTTGATCATCTTGGTGCCTTGTATCATCAATCCTCTTTGGCCTTTGCTTTAAGGAAGGAATAGATTGTGAAAGGCATTAATCTTCACCCTTTGTATTTATATTTACTTGTACAATTTCTGCTAATATATGCTCCATTTTCCATTAAGAAAAAAATAAGGTACTTCTCTCTCGCCCTTTTCTCTTCGCCTATGCTTTCCTGCTGGTCAAACAACTACAATTCCTGCCAACTATTATGCTGCTACATAAATGCAATTTGTATTCTTCTGCCTTCCATAAAAGCCATTTTCCCACAGTGAGGTTTTCGAGGACTTCTTTTCATTTATTGATTTAGGATACTATGTATGCCTTTTCTTTTGTGTAAATTATGTACACCATTTTTGGGATATGAATTCTTAATTTTAATGTGGTTTAAACTTATTGTTAGGTTTGTTAATATTTTGATCCTGGCAAGGTTTCATTCAGATCATCAATTAATGGGAAGACATGTTCCTGTTAGTCTAGGGCCACATATAAACATTTCCATTTATTTACATAAGCATCTTCTTCATTTATATAAGCTTATCTATGTGGCTTATTTTTGTTAGTCTAAAGGCCATATATGAACATTCACTGGTCAATTAACTATCATAATTTTAAGAGGTTCATGGCAACAAGTGTATTGCAGTCCTAGCATATCTCTAATGCCTCTAAGACAACTTTCATTTGCTAGCATGTTCAAGTTGTGAGTATTAAAATCAACTTCTTGCTTTTCAAATTTCTTATTGCAACATGTTTCTGTTGATCGAAGTTATACTCAAACCTGAGAAATTTTATAATTTATAATATGATTTTTATTTACATAAATGTGCCATAATCATTCTAAAGGGTGTTAAATCTTTGGCATTGCCTTTTCTTTTTGGTAGAATAGAGAAATTTGGAGACACACGGTTACTCAACAACTTCCTGCTGAATCTGTAGCCAGTTGCTTTATCCAAAAAAAAAAAAAAAAAAAGCCTCTTGCTGAATCTGTAGCCAGCTGTCAATTTTTCCTATCGCAGTCTGAGTTTTGCATAAAGCAGACGCTATTTTTTCTTGAAAATTTTCAGGCTGAGCTGAAAAAGGATGCAGTAAGGAGAGAGATAATATGCCACAAGAACCATCAACTTCTTGTAAATACTCTGTCTACGGATTCGGCAAGACTTTTATCATTACCCAATTTGTGTTTACTAGCCTTGATCATACCATAAAGCATGTATATCTCTGCAAATATTATAATGTTGTTGATGGGTCTGATTTATGCTGCATGGCACAATGACAGTTACTACGTCTCAGATAATTCTGCTTTGGTTTTATGGTTGCCGTTTGGTGTTCTTTTTTCTCCCACTTCTCGTCCTTTTTAGTTCTCTTATCTCTCATCTTCTTAATTTTTGTTCTTCAGTTTAAATTAACTTACTCATGCATGTGCTTCTTCCCGTAAGCAAAAAATTGATATGGGTAATGTATATTCTTTATGCTTATCCATATTCTGTGAGCATCATCAGAAGTATATGCAATCCATGGGTAATTTTAAATTTTCTTGTATTAATATATGCTATTGTGACAGTGTCAACTCCATGGTATACTGTATATTTGCCTTCGATTATATGCTATTGTGTCAGTGTTCAGAGCTAATGGGAAGTGTGCTCTTTGTTATATAAATTTTGAATCATTAACTTCCGATTGTATAACTGCAGATTGAACTCAATAAATTTTGATTAATTTAATTTTGGTTCACCTTTTTTTTTTTTTTGCGCTTTTGTTTGTCTATCGTCATCTTTTACTTTATCTATGAAGTCTTAGAGGATTATATGTTTAGTAAGAAATCAATACCCTATATTTAAAGAGAAAAATTTTGCACATGTACCTAATAGGTATCAAAATACTTGGTTATCAGAAGACTTTTGGTTTCTAGAATTTAAGAGCATACCGAAGAAACAACATTAGCCATTGTACATCACTGTACATCCCGTGTTCATTTAAACTCCTATTTGTGAGATGGGACAAATAGTGTAGCGTATATCTATATATATCTTTGATTATATTTGAATCAATTTGCAAATTTTCAATTTGGACAAAACTACAAAAGCAAACATAAGGGCATTAATTTTCAACTTTCATATGTTAGATTAAATGAAACGTTGGCAATAAATGACTGACAAAATTCAAGCATATCATAAGCAAAAAGATGCTTTCAAAATGCAAAAAGCAAATATGAAACCTAACCACATAAGGAGGTGAAAGTTCGGTATAAAGTAAAATATGATTTTGCTGTGAAATTCAAACTCTTCTTGCGGTTCCTATTTCATTTGGTGGTTAGTTGATTATAGATGTCATCAAAGGACGTGAAGAGATTATTGATTTGTGACATTGATTGGAGAAGAGTTAGGTATGGCTATATAATTATAAAAGGAAAAGTTACACGGACCAACCCCATTAGCCTTACTGGTGACGATCTCTTTATGCTTGACTCTGGATATTATGAGTCACGTATTCACTAATTCTTCATTTCTACATATATAGAATAACAAAGAGTCCTATATGTTAATATTGACAGTACTATATCATAAAACAATTGAAGGAGACAATATATCCATCATATATACAGAGTACTTGTCTCAGTCAAGCCCTGTACATGGGAATTTTGCAGAGTGAAAATATAAAGACCAAACAAAGATGTTTAATAGAATAAGTAGAAATCTTATGGGAGGTGGGGAAAACAGCATTTGCTTCTGAATCTTATGGACGCAGAAAATCTTTAAGACTAGGTCCATAATTGGCATAATAATCACATTCTACACTTTTGATTGGTGTTCATTTCCTATGATTGCGATGGGACAGTGACCTTCTGGACCTATTTATATACTTTCTGTGCTTCCTGATAGTAAAATGCCCATACTTCGTTTAAAGTATGCAAACACATAACCAGACGAGATGCCTTTTGAGAAATTTTTGACATCTTAATGAAACGCAATTAATGCACAATCCTTCTAATCCTTTGTTTGACAAAATCTTATATTGATTTAGGCCCTTATCTATTTTTTTCCACTAGCTAGGTCCTTGCCTTTCTTAGCTTCTAACTGTTAACTATGGAATAAAAAGTCTAGAAAGTTTAAAAAGTGAATTGATAAACATAGACATGGCATGTCATTGCTTATGTTTCTCTTGATAAGATGCGTGATAAATTTACAAGAGGCACGCACAGATTGCATACATGACTTTTCCATGTTTCATGCACCTCCTCCAGGCTCTTATATATGAATAAGGGTAGATGTGTCAGATTTTAAAGGTATTCTATGGGTAAATAATAGAACTGTTGTCTGGCTGTTCTCAAGTAAACTTTTTGTGGACAAAAACTTCAGCAACCAGCTATATATCCTCAAGGACACTTAGGTTGATTGATATGAGGTCGTCCTAGCTGATCTTGAGTTTTAATTTTGAGAATGCAGTTAACGTGATGAATCTTTCAAGGAAGTGTGATAGAGGCTTTCCCTAATATGGGCCAACTTAGTCTCGGTCCAGATTAGTCTGGCCCCACATTTGTGGATTGAAATACCGGAAGCTATCACACAAAAAAAAAAAAGAAAAAAAAAACAAAAAGAAAAGATCTCTGTAATGGTATCTCATGAATTGATTTATTTAAGATTCAATTTCTTGTAGATCGAAACTTAGGCAATCAATTTAGTATTGATTTTTTTATGCTAAGTTAAATGTGGTTGTCCCATTTTGTGTTTTTAAATTTAAATGGGGTTTTAAGTAATTATCTTCTTACTTTAATTTGTAGTGAGATTTAATTAATTCAATTATCTCAAGAAATAAAAATGCAACGGTTGATGACAATTGTCTTCTAGCATACTTGAAGTTGAAGACATGATATGCTTTACGTCTCTTGATAATAATTATTCTAAATGTTTACATTTATCTAGATATGAATGTAAATACTTAATATTTACAATAAGGATTTGAAATTATAATACTTGATATTCAACTACTGTTTTCATGATTTATTTAATAAATGCATAGGTAATACTCTCTTTATCAATAAAGCTAACTCAATACCTAATACTTTATGTCATGTCAAATGAGAAGAAAAAGTGAGGGCTGATGTTTTTTTCCTCTACATTGATTTTTTTTTTTTGGGATATGAATGAAATTTTCTCAAGTGATGAGAGGGGAGTAATTTATATAGGGTCCTTGGTCGAAAAAGTAATTTACATAGGGTAGTTATATTCCTATTGTTTTACTTAAAATAATATTATATAAAAGGTACATGTAGACATCCTTTGTGTTGTTTCTTTTGGCGAGGAAGTATGATTTCAAAATTTAGCCTATGAAAGACTAACATTATTACATTTCAAGTGCTCATCTAACTGAACACAAAACTATTATTTTCCCATGTCATTTTTTATCAAGTATGAAAAGTAAATCCAATGCAATAATCTCATTTTAATCAATCAAATCATTATAAGATTATTGGTTCTGCTTGTAATTATCTTGATTGTAATCCATTATGCAATTTAAATTCTCACCAATACATAATATTTGAATACTATTTAAATTTGATTTATATATGTCTCCTTCATGGAACTTATAAACTTCTTATCATACTCATGAATTCATGATGCTAAAGTTGCACTGACTGCTATTTATAAAATTTATAATTAATCTAAAAAAAATGAAAGTAACATATTATACTTAATTGTAACAACCATAAAGTATTAATGTCTAGGGAAAAAAAAAATCCAAACATTATTGTTAATGTTTATGTTCTATATGTTGGGTGCATTACGATAACGTCCTTGGAATTCATAAAACTCATGTTTGAATAAGTTTGAAATTCTATAGCATAAACATACATATGTTTAATCATTTTTCATTAAAAGATATAATCTTTTGATTTCCCATTTAGTATGATCTTATGATTAAAAAAATTTTTTTAATAAAATTGTGAAATAATTATATATGTGTCATATAATATCATTGCTTGGAACATTATTTTGTGAAGGGTTAGAATAAAATAACCCTATACATAATAATGGGAGAATGAACATACATTGGCACATGTTACCACCCTTTCACCCCAAGCATAAAACTTGGTAACAAATTGGGAATTTAACAAGTCAATGTCATATATATTACTTATTGAATAAATCCCAAATATTATTGTTAATATTTTTTATGTCGATTGCATTATAATTACATTATGTAAATTTCATAAAGTTCATGTTTTCTTTTTTCTTTTGATAATGTAAAACTATTCTAAGAAATTTAAAATAATACATGAAAGGTATCACATGGGAAGTAAATGTTATGATTATTAACAAGAGTTAAGGTTAATTACTTTGTCATATTCTATGACTATTGACAAGAGTTAAGGTTAATCTCCAATGACATGTTGGAACGTATTTGTTGAAGCCAGTTTTCATGCACGAACAACTTTATGAAGCATTGTTAAGGGTTAAATCAGTTGATGGATTGAAGATACTTTTGCACGATGATAACGATATGAGAACTAAGGTATTTTGTAACATGTAAGAGATAAATGTTATAGTTTTTATATCTAATTTTCATGCAATTGAAAAGAACACATTAACTTTAAGTATATGCTATCGTGTAACGCAATGGAGTGAACACTAGTTCTCATAATGACAAGTTTAGAATAAAGCCATTTTCATTGACAGAACTAAATGTATTGATATGGTGAACAAGTCATTATTTGTAAAATAATAACATTCTATCACATTTTGACAAAAAATAATTCTTTTATAATTTATCCAGAATACAGTTATGAGCAATTATATATTTTCACAATAACAATTAATTACAATTAGGATCTTAGGAAATGTAGTGTTAGATCAGAATTCATTGGTCCTAAACTGTGAATATATTTATCTAGGGGTCCTTAGTTGTGATTTCCCTTTATATTTCTATTGATTTTTAAATTTTAAATATTAAAATATTATGTGCATCACATGAAGAATAAATCTAATTTTTTAATTATTTTCAAAAAATAAAATGCATATATTCCCACATATTTTTTCACTATATTATTGAATAAAATATAAAAAAGTATAATATGAAATAAAATTTCCTTTTTGAGTTTTCTAATATAAATTTGAGTTTTCCCTAATTGAAGTTTATCAATTTATTTATATTTTTATTCTACCTTTTTAAAAAAATTAATTTAATATTTAATATTTTTTCTGAAAAAATAAATTAGTTATATATATATATATATATCATGAAATTCATGTCCTTTTCTGTTATTATACATTTAAAATGATTTTCAAATTACAAACAAGTTTTAGTTGTTTAAAATGACCTTTAAAAAATAGGAAAAATTAATTAACAAGTCCTTATAGTTTTACTTGATTTTGAATTAAATCTATATAATTTATTTTACTTTAATCAAGTCTTTATAATTTAATCTATTAAATATATTAGTTCTTGTTTATTAAAATTTTTTAATTTTTTATCACTTTGTTTAAAAATATAAGGTATTTTTTGAGAGGTTGGATATTAAAAAATATAAAATAATTTTAATCTTTTAAGGATTAATCATTGTTTTTTTTAAAAAAAATACTCATATTGAATAAATTACTTTACGTTTATTTTAGAGTTAAATATCTTATTAAGTAAAAAAAATATCAAAAGATGAGATTAATTTAAAGATAAGTAAATTACTTTATCAAATATAAAATTTAGTTAAAAGTATTTTTTTTAGCCGAGGGAGTACCTTTAAAAAAAATGAAATTAAAGGGTTTTGTATGTTTATCAAAAGACTATATAATTTTAAAATTAATTGCATAATTTTTATAATTAAAAATTTATATAATTAAGTTATATTTTTAAATAATAATTTATCAAATTATAAAAGCTAGACTAAAATAAAATAAATTAAAAAAATTTAATTTAAAATTAAAAAATTAGAAAGATTTGTAAATTAATTTTTTTAAGAAAAATTTAAATATGAATTATATTACTTTTATTTTAATTTCAATTTCAATTTACAAATATCATCTTATTCTGACATCAATTTTTATGGTGGAAGCAATGCAGAAAGTCACATCCAAGGTTTTAAAAATTGGACCGGTCATTGAACCGAACGAGACGCTGGTTCACGGTTCATTGGTTGAACCGTGGTCTAACCGGAGTCAAACCGATTGATATTAAATTAATATATTTTTAATTTATGTATCATAATTAAATAAAAAATATATTTAAATATGCATTTTTTTCAAAAATATATTATAGATGCTTGATAATATAATTTGTTATTGATAAATATATAATTAATATTAATTATAAGCGAAGATTTTCATTTAAATGTCAAGAAAGATGTATTTTAATTTTAATTTTAATTTATTTTTTTAAATTTTATCCAGTTTTTTATGAAAACCGGTTCAGTTTTTGTCCGGTTTTGCCGGTTTGACCGGTTGTTGACCGGTTTTCTACTGATCAATTTTTAGGGGTCAATCAAACCGGACTAAGAGCCGGTTCCCGATTCAACCGATTGAACTGGCCGGTTCAGTTTGATTTTTAAAACTCTGGTCACATCCACTTCACTTCACATATTAATTGGAAGCGATAATTTATTGAAGATATTTTTGTCAGTACTGCAGGTGGTTTTCTTTGGATATAGAATTGATGATTATCTCTTGAATCAAAAACTGTTATAATTTTTTTTCCCCAATCCAAACATAACCTCAGGTCTTCCAATGAGCTTTCTAATGACCCTAAATCCAAACCTATGATTGTGTTTTTCTTTAATTTAAAATAGAATAAATTGTTATTTACATTTTAATTCACATAAAATAAAAAAATTTATAGGTGATAAAATAAATCATCTTTTTTAATTTTATATTTCTATTTTATTTTATTATTTAAACATTAAAAGATTATGTGCATATCAAGGAAAATAAACATAATTGTTTAAATTCTTTTCAGAAAAATTAAATGCACATATTCCCTCATATTTTTTTGACTATATCACTCAATAAAATATAAAAAAGTATTACATGAAATAAAATGTCCCTTTTTCAGTTTTCTAATGTAAATTCGAGCTTTGCCTAATTGAAATTTATCAATATCAACATCATATTTTGTCTGAGTTTCCAGACACAAATTAAAAGTAAATGAAAAATATAATAAAATGGGTTTTTTATAATAAAAAATTAAAAAATCTCTTCATAAACCAAACTTAAAGAGTATTTTCCTTTTTCATCACCTCCAAATCCCCACAATTATCGTTCTACATCAAATTAAATGCTTTAATTTGATTTTAAAATAGTTAAGGCAAAAGTAAAATAAAAGTTATTAATGATTTGATTTGGTATGATTATGATTGGTTGTGTTATTAATGAGAACAAAATTATAGTTGAGTCTATAAATTTGAATCTTGATGTTGGGACAGAAGTTTGAATTACTTTGTACATTTGATTGTTGTTGTGTGGGCTCATGCATGTGGAGATAAATGGTGGGTTTGAAATTTCTTATGATAATGCAAGAAAATTATACCATTTGTGGTGTTAAGAAGGACATGTTATGCATTTGTACAAATTTCAGACTTGTTGGAATGTCTTGGAAAAAATATCAAATTGTCAAGAATCTCGTTCTATGTCATTTATTTTTAAAAAATGAATTAATTGTATTAAAAAAAGGCTCACCCCTTTTCAAATTACTCATGAATGATATTACATCACTTTAAATATTTGACATATTGTGAGTAATGTTAAATCGCATTAATTGCCAAATATAAAGTAAATTCTCTTTGTGTATTATTTTTAAAATAATAAAATAATAAATAATGACATATTTTAGTTGTAAAAAATTAAGGTAATAGTTGTAATTTATTGATAAAACAGTTATAAATTTTTGCATTGATGTAATATATTTTTAATAGGGATATTATTATATTTATGCTTTAATTTTAAATTATATTAAGGTTTTAAGAGATTTAATTGTGGCTTATAAATTTTATAAGACTTATGTATAAACAAATATAGTCCAGGGGACTTAAACGAAAATTTCTTATAATTTTACACCCATAATCGAAGGCTAATTAGAAGCAACACAGAAAGTCGCATCCATTTATTGGCCGAAAAAAAAAAACAAAAAGAAAAATCGCATCCCCTTCACTTTTGAACTGTAGAAAGTGTACACATATTAATTGGAAGCGACAATTTATTGAAGATATTTTCATTGATGGTGATCTTTTTAAGTCAAAAACTGCTGTAATTTTTTTTTTCCACGTCCAAACATAATCTCAGATTTTCTAAGGACCCTAAATCCAAACTTACGATCTCATCCAAACATATCTTTAACCACCACCGTACAATATTGTGCCAGCATATTTATAGTTAGAATTGATAATTTGAGTTAAATTTAATGGACTAATCTAATTTCGTTTGAAAAAATTTAGGATTGGAGTTAATAAAATAATATTCTTTTATATTTGAGCCTATTCATATTCCAAAAAATTGAACTCGATTCGAATACTTAAATAAAATTTTTTATTTTTTAAAAATATATAAAATATAATAAATATTAATTAATATTTTAATTTTTAAGTTATTTTATACTAAAATATCATATATTTGAGTGCATTATTATAGCTATTTTTTTAAAAGAATTCAAAATATTTATATGTTCATATTTTTATTTTTTTTAAATCATAAAATATCTCAAAATAATATTTAAAATATATTTTAATATTAATTTTTAGATCTTAAGACCACATATTTAAAAAAAAATATTGAATCTTATACGTCATTTAAATATTTAAAAATATGTATTTTCTATTTTTATAAAATAAAATAATTAATTTTAAAATGACAAAATTAATAAAAAATAATTTTAAAAATAAAATTCAAACATTCAAGCTGTTCAAATTTTTGGACCTCGTTTGTCATTCGGGTTTTTCAAAGATTCAAGTTTGTTTAGGTTTATGCTTATTTGGACTAAAATAAGCCCAGCCAGTCCGAATTCTTGACTATATCTATAGTTGAGTCGCGCACGTAATCGGTAGCCGCTCTCTTATAATGTTTCATTATTCCATTAATTAATTAATTTTTCAATGGAATTGGAATTTGAATCTCGCAAATGACTCTGATTAAAAAAAAAACAAACTCACAAAAGGCAAAAAACGGGAATATTACAGATGGAGAATAAGCTGGCAGCTACCATCTCACTAGAAGCATTCAACAATGGAAGCAAAATTATTTCAACTTTTCTGCTGTAAAAGTACCATACCTCAAACTCAAAGCAATAACGGTTTTGTTTTTAAGCGAACGATCAGGAAGAAAGACCTTTGAGAAAAATAGCAGAAAAAGCTTCCATTTGAGTTCTGTTCATCACCAACCCAATCTCAATACCTCCATTACTGCTTTCTGCAAGAGAAAAAGCTCCTGTCCTGTCTATAGAAACTATCTCCACCTTCTTCGGTCTTCCCCATCCAAAATCATTACTATAAACTTGAAATCGTGGTGATCCTGCTGTTGAAAACATTCTGTAAGTATCAGTCAGTCCAAAAGTTTCCATATCAGATATCCATGTTTCCGCTAAACTTAATATTTCTTCACTTTCCAATCTCTTCAAAGCTTCACTTATGGCCTCAAGTGCAACAATGAACCCATCATCCCCTAGCAAGTTCTTGGTCTCAGCCTCAGCCTTAGCCCCACCAATGCAGTTTCCAAAATATGCAGATGGAATTGGAGGATCCAAACGAGATCTACAATCCGCACTGAATATGAACAACACTTTATCGTGTTTTGTTTGTTCTGCTTTGACCAAGCAGTTCAACAAATAGGCACTTGTTATTGAGAAGGTTGATAGATGAATTGCCTTGTTGTTCAGCTTTGACTCCGCAGATTTCTTAAGCTTTTGAATATTCGAAGGAAGCAATTCGAATGTCCCCCTTATTAGCTTCCCTTGATCCGTTTTCTTCATGTTCCATAACATCAAGCTTTTGTTGTTTGGTCCACCTTGATTTAACCAAAAACTCGCGAATTTCTCAGCAATCCCTGACGGATCTTTCACCACTGACCTGTCGAACGATGGCCTCAGATTCTCCGGTAACGATAAAACTGATGACGATTCTCGGATATTAGAGCAGAGATAAGCCCATGACTTTAGGAACAAGGTTGATGTTTTGCCGTCCATGGTTGCATGGTGGGTGGTGATTCCAATAGAGAATCCTGAGTTCGGAAACAAAGTGATTTGCAGACTCATGAGAGAAGCTTTTTCATCGGAAACAGTCAAGTCCGGTACCAGCAGGCGGATTTCCTCGGCTTCTGGGAACTCTGAACCAGAGAGAAGGTTGAAATCTGCGTTGGACTCGGCGACGGTGAGTGAGACGCCGTCACCGGGAACATAGCGGATGAAGGGTTTCGGGGAGGGTGGTGGCCAGACAATGTTGCCGGCGAGAGGAAGAAAGTGGCGGAGAGTGAGAGACAGGGAAAGTTTGAGTTTTGGAAGAAGGGAATGGAAGAAGGAGGAAGGTGGGTGAGGGAATTCGTAGAAGAAAAGACGCTCAACAGGGGGAAATCTCAGCCAAAGTACGTCGAAAAAGGTGAACGGTAGGGAGGTTTCCGATGCGGCGGCGGAAGTGGTTGTTGCCGGCGGAGCCGGAGCTACCCGACAAGCTTCAAGAACTTTCATTGATTCTGGTTTCGCCATGAGCTGAAAGAAAGAGGGCTTACAAAAGCGCGCATATATACACCCCTTCCGTCTGTTCATGTAGAGCATTATTTTTTTTTTTTTTGAAAATTTAGACGTTCTAAGATAGTTTTAATATTTCAATGTATAATTAATTTTTTTAAAAAGGGTACCTAATAAATAAATATTTTGTATTTATTTCAAACTAAATCAATTGAGATAAATAAAGTAAAGCTGTTAATATACAGTTCAACATGTTAGTCTACCAAATAATAGAGGGATGGGTTGGCAAAAATAGATTCATTTATGATAGGTAAGGTTTCGATCAATATTGTATAACTTAACCATGCAAGGAGCTAACTCACGGATTGGTTAATTAGCTTGCTTATTTATTTTTTTCAAAAAATTATGACTCCACACGAAACTTTTGTCGCCTCCCCCTTACTCACATTTAACAATTAACTTCACTTTTTGTTAACATCAAGTTATTCGATATAATTAACTAATCTTATTTGATGCATGTTTATTATATGTTTTCCTCTAATTTTAATAATAAAAATATAAAACGTGATAACCATGTCCTATGAATGAAGCCATACTTATAAAAATTGTTATTAAAATTATTAGATGATGCTCTACAGCTAAACGAATAATGGAACGAATTAAAATATAGCTTATATGAATTGTTTGTGATGGAATATATATTTATTTTGAATTTGAATTGTAAGAGTTTAATTGTTATTTGAATAATTAATTTTTAAGAAATAATATAATTTTTTACAGTAAAAAAATAATGAAAAAGATGGATTTATAATTTTTAAAATTCTAAAAAAAGTAATATATATACACACACATATATGTTTAACTGGCGGGCTAACTCACCTTTGTGGGTTGTGAGTGGGATAGAAATATAACTTGTTAAGATGCGGTATATATCAACTCGTATCACACAATCCGCAATTCGCTAATATATTGATAGTATTAATTTAAAGATAATTAATTATTTTATTAAAAACTTGACTCAGTTAAAAATGAAGAGGGAGTACAATTTATGGGTTAGTTTTTTTTTTCTTTTGACAAAAGATTCAATATTATTAATTATCAAGACTGTTTCACACACAAAATCAGACATCAAAGAGTGAGAACAAAAGCTGATCAAATGAAAGCGGGGGAAAAAAGACAAGTATTGTCAAACAAAGAAATAAAAATGAAAGAGGAAAGGCATACACCTATCTGCCCAATGTAACTTTTTGAATAAAAAATAATGTTAGGTGGCAAAATATATTTTATATAAAAAATCATATACATCTCTCAACTAACGTTCTTATATAATCATTAAATAGTAATGTTAAACAAAACAAAACAAAACATTTGTTGTCGTGTATGAAATTAATAAAAATTGTTCTTACTTATAAGGTTTTTATACCAAAAGGCTTCATTACTAGATTTTTATAGTTAGAAAATATAATATTTATTTTTTATTATATCTAAAACCTATTTTTTAAAAGAAAACTAACATTTTATTTTTTCTATATTACAAAGACAATATCGAAATAAAATAAAAAATTTACAAATACAATACAAAAATCAAGAAATATTTAAAAGTAAATAGTTAAATATATTAGCAAATAACTAAAATGATAAAAAGATATCAGGAGTAAAAAGATTAATTTTGCTATCTTAAATAAAAATTTAATTTCTTAAAAAATATCTTAAAATATTAGCCTTGAATATCGACCCAATACATAGGAGTGCGAATAAGTATGAGATTTTTTACCTTGAATTCGTTTATTTGTTTTCTCTATTTAAATATTCTCTTATAAAAAGTCACGCTTCCTTCATGTGAAATGAATTCAATCTGTCAAATAATAAAAAGAAAAGAAAGAAAGAAATCGAATTTTGTTTCCTGAGGCAGCTGGCAGTGCTAGTCGGCCAGCTTCCAGCTTCCAACTGCTCCCTCCTTTTTTTATATTCCATTTTAATTTTCCAACTATGACGTTTGAAAGTGCGGTCAAAAAAATAAATTGAATGTTTGACTTTTTATTGTAATGTTTGATGATATCCTTTTAATATTTATAATATTTCACCCAACAGACGTGTATATGTGTGTGTATATATATATATATATAAGAATAAGAACTTTGGTCGAAGAAAAACTCTGAATAAGAACGTTAGTGAATATACAGGAATTTATAAAAGAATATATAATAATTTTTGTTATTGATTGTATTTTGGTAAAGCAAAACTTGATGTGCCTATATTTTACTCACATTTTATTATTAATTTATATATTTTTTAAGTTTTTTTAATTTTTATATTTTATTTTTTTATTATTTTAAGTCCTTTTAAGTTTTCTATAATCTATTCATAAAAGAATTTAAAATAATAAAAAATAAAAATATATGAATCAAAAATATTAAAAAAATAAATAATAATAATAAAATATGGATAAAGTATAAAAACATCAAGTTATATTTTTTTTATTTTTTTATATTTATGCATGTCATTCTTGCACGGGAACCATGTTAACCTTCTTTGTATCCTTTCAATTCTATCATATATCTGCAGAGGCACCTAGTTGTATTTTTCATAATTGCTTTTGGGAAATTCCTAGTCCAAGGCACTAGGGTCTCTCCAATTTTTTTTTTTTTATCATCATTTTTCCTCTACTTCTTAATCATGATCCCTTTAAAAATAAACCAAATTTTTAAATAGAAGCCTGAGTAAATATGCTATTTTAATTATGTTACTTGTTAATTCAATAAAAGAGTTTGTTGCAATGCATTTTGCATATTAAATATTGTTTTCTAATAATATGAAGCAGAATTGTTAAAATCATAACTTAACATTTTATTTTAATAATATTATTTTAATTTAATAAATGAACTTGTTAACAACACATGTTGCACATTCAATCTTATTAGCTTATTATTTTAATAACATTATTTGTTAACTCAATAAAGAAACTTGTTATAATACACAATTTGCATGTTTAAAGTTATTTTGTAATAACATGAAATGAACTAGTTAAAGTTGTAACTCAATTTATTATTTTAATAATATTACTTGTATATTTAATAAAAGAACTTGTTAACAACATGTGTAATATTCAAAGTTGACTTGTAGCAACATAAAGTGCACTTGTTAAAAATTAACTTAACTTGTTATTTTAATAATATTATTTATTAATTTAATAAAATAGTTTGTTACAATACATTTTGCATGTTCATTATTATTTTATAATAATATGAAGTAGAGTTATTAAAACCGTACCTTGTTATTTCAGCAAAGTAACTTCTTAACAGTATAAGTAATAGTGTTGTAACTTAATGTATTATTTCAATAAAGGAACTTGTTAACAATACAAGTAATTTAACTAGTAGTGTTACTTTGTTCCTACGGTATAGACCTGGTGGTGAACACAAAAATCAATAGATACTACAAATGTACGGGTCACAAATATATAGCTAATGATAAACATAGGTCAAGCCCACAGAGGCATTTAATTCCTAATTGCATCCAAGTTAAGCAAATCACAATTGAGAATTTATAAAATAGAAAAGTTAATAATTAATATGCAAAGGCAAAAAATTTCACTAAACAACACTTTCATAAAAGAGATTACCCAAGCTCCTACTCATTTGTGTAATTCTTAGACTTTATCACCACCAAATTACTTATGATTAATAATGATTAGTTAATTTCGAGTATATTTAGTATATTTCAAAAAAGAATGCTTTTTAATACAATTATTCAAAAGGCATTGAAAGTTCAATAACAATCTAACATGACTATATGAGTCTAAGAGATATATTTTTATTCTAAATACAAATTAGAATAAATTCTAATCACATAATCTTGAGGTCCATTTAAGATTTTCTTTTTCAAGATAAACCCTAAACCTCCAAATCTCAACTCAATAGTGGCCAATCATCAAACAAGACAAATAAATGAGATTAAGTAATCTAACACTAACATTAATCAGAGAGTAGTGATTTCAAAATAGGATTAGACTGGTTGGATTGCCAGTCGGTCCTTGTTTTGGTTTAGTTTGAACAATAAAACTATTTTAACTTTTGAATCGGATTGGGTTGCTCTAAACAGTGGTTAGACTAGGAATCGTTAAAAAATTGTGAATTGGACCAGTTTTGTGAAAACGGAATGACTCAATTTTTTTTCACTTTGTTCTAATTTTAACTCTAAAAAAACCTCCCTTACTTTTCAAACACTTTGAGAAGGTGAAAAAAAATTTGGTTCATGCATTTTGCTCCAATTTTAACCCTATATCAAAATAATATCTTCATTTTCATTTTTTTGGGATACCTGTTTTGATAAATCATTTTCATTCTTTTTATATGTCTTAATCTGAATAAATATTCAATAAAAAAATCTAAATTAGTGTAGGAATATCTGTTGTGAGCGTTGATATTGAATCATTTGATATTATGTTATGTCACGAAGCTTATTAACTAATAATTAATTTGGAGCATTTAGCTTTATTTTTAAGTTATGTAGTAATTCTATATTTATTTCTTATATTTATATTATTTTATATAATATTTATAATTCAATTATTATGTCATCGATTCAGTTATGGGTCCAATCGGTTGGATCATGCAAACCATGAACCATTTTGAAAACATTGTCATAGAGTAATTGAAGAAAATAGTATCTAATACATAAACAAGTCCGTAGTTGCTTAGGTCATAAAGAAAATCTAGCTGCATGTAACACCCTAATTTTTTTTTCAAAACAATTTAACTTAACCATAGTAGAAAGTGTCTACCATGGTAAAAAAAAGTCAACTCATCCTATATATTGTTTTTTTTTAACAATTCTATAATTTTAAACACTAATATGTAAGAAATGATAAAATATAGCCTTATAAAATACTTCACCTTTTAAATTAACTATCATGGTAGAAAAGATTAAACCTCTTTTCAAATAATAAAAAACAAATTTTATACAACTAACGCACATTTATAACCATAGTTAGGTTGCAGCCATTCAACTCATTTTATATTAATAAATTTAATAATAAAATATTTTATAATTAGTTTAAGCTTATACAATACAACATCTCAGATAAATTTTTACCTCCCACATATCATTAGGCTAAAACCACATTTTTCATCCTTATACTCCAACAAGTGCAAACTATAGATCAATAACTAAAATAAACAACTAAATCAATTTCCTAAACAAGCCAATTATTTAGCCTCATAATCATGCCATTTCAAACCATTCAAAATAAATCAAAGATCAAAGTTACAGTCATCCAAAGTATACTAAAAGTAGACATAGTTTGAAGGGCATGATTACATCATTACATTCATATAATTGTCAATAATCAAAAGCTCTAGTATTGGCAATATAACACATTAAAAATCATAAATCAAATACTCAAAAGAGACAGTGGATCTATGCTATTAAGCCTCAGGGACTCTTCCACGCGCCATTCGTGGCTCTTCTCTTGAAAATTGTTAACCATATAATGAGACTCAAAAGTTCTAGTAACCAATGCCAATTTATAATAGTGTATACAAACAGTTAAATGTGTGCTTGCTAAGTGGATAAACAACAATAATATAATTCTAACAAAATACAAGAAATATTACAATGTGTAACAAACAATCATCCTTATCTCCTTCCATTAACCTCAAGTTAAAACCCTCACTTGGTGCACCCGGCCAAAGGTAAATTAGCCTGAGCCTTTACAAGTCACCTATTGGGCTCCAATAGGGATGTACCATGTGGCACATAAATCCAACAACAATAACAACAACAAGTCTCCCAACACCTTCCATAATAATCAAATAAATTTATAATAATATTGTACAATTATACAATATTACAATCTTTATAATTTTCTCATTTTTAACAATATTACAATATGACATTTCACTTGGCAAAAATACTTCAAAATGCATATTCACAATTTCACAATTTTTTCCATAAACATAACAAGGTAATTTCTCAACAACAATTCATAATTTTCTCAATAATCACTCAATTAACATGAAGCAACACTAATCATAAATTTAAAGCATGGTTACCTCGTGGCTTTTTCAATAAATTATTCCTTACAATTTTTCTCCCACCACAATCTTCACCAACAACACAATCTACAAATAACATATTATTTATAAATGTTAGTTTCAATTATTGAAACTAATAAAATAACTATAATAATAGAATTAGAGAATATATCATGATTCTTAATCTTAATCTTAACACAAATGTAGAGTTAGTACTATTAAATAAAATTTTTAACTCCTCTTTTAGTTATCAATAAACATTAATAAGCTAAAATCAACCTCCAAACCAATTCCTATTATCAAAATTTTCTTTTTTGTTTCATAAATTCGCACCTAAAATACCCAAAAATTAAAAATTGAGTCTCAAGCTTAGAATCATCATCCTATAGCCATAATAATCCATTTCTCATCCCAAATAATCATCTAAACCTTAATAAATCAACATATATTTTTGAATTTAATAAAAATCTAGCCTAAGGTTTGATTCATAAGCCTCAAATTCCAAGCTTATCAATAAATTTATACTCTAAAACATTTATTATACCATTACCAGCCTCAACAATTACATTTATTCAATATAAATTCATCCCTCTTCTAAACTCTAGATTTTCTACCACCACAAAATCAGAAAACAAAAAGCAAGGATGGCTAAAAAAAATTTAAAATACTTAAATAATTTTAAAAAACTTAAAATCACACCTTAAATATCCTATTAGGAACCTAAACCTTTAAAACTCAGATCCCTTCTTATCGATGACTCGCGTTATTTCGTCTCTACTCTCGCGCGCAAGAAAAGGAAAACGCTAGACATAAAGAATGAGAAAAGGAAAGAGGTGGGGGATATTTAAAAAGGTGGGGTCCTACAACTTTTTTTGTTTACTTTCATTTCTCTTCATATATATATATATATATGTCTACATGCTTGCACGCAATCTGCCCCCTCCCTTTTCTTTTTATTTATTTATTAATATATATATATATATATATATGTACATTACACCTGTGCCACAAAACGTCCACCTCCTCATTTTTTCTATTTTTTTAATTTCTATATATATATATATATATATATTTTCATTTCTTAATCTCTCTTTCTATTATATTTCACTTTCTTCTTTCCTAATAATATTAATAATAATAATAATTTTGAAAATCTTAACTTAGAATTATATCTTAAGTTAAATCTAATAATCATCTCCTACTAATTTGCTTATCTCTAAATATTCTTCAAAATTTCTATTAACCCAAATTAACTATTGAAATTTAAATTGAGATGTTATACTGTATATTAGTAACATTAGTCCCGTAGCAACAAAATAAAGGTGCTAAATTAGAAACATTGGAGAAAAAGGAGAAAAACGAGATTAAACTAAATGGAATCACAAAAAGTTGATAAATCCTCTTCCTCTAAGTTCTTAAATCAATACCTAGCTTTTTAGAGTTTCCTCTTATAGTCCAAAATGCTTCCTCATTCTATCTCACTTTCTATTTGAATAATGGAAGCTGTTCTAGCATGAAATTTTCTATAGCACCTGTTG